GGGCACACATTGGCTGGGGATGTCCCATTCTTGAGGGGTTCCCCTGGTAAACATAAGGGGGAATTCCCTCATATGGCAGAACCCCAACAGTAATGCTTGCATAGGGGCCAGAGGGGAGAAGAGATCCTACTTGCTTGTAGAAAAAGTAAAAGAGTGGGGGATTTCTTATAAACTCCATTTACAGAGTAGATCCCCTTCTGTTATTCAAAGTTCCCTTGATAACAGGGTATTCTGAGACATTTGGGAATACCATCTCCTTGCTGTTTCTGGTTGAATCTTCTTTTAGATTTTAGAGGAAGACAACTGAGTATATAAATATATGAGTAAATGTAAGAATAAAAATGCACATACACAATTTGATAGTTAGGAATTCAGTAGTCCTAGGATTTATACCATTTTCCACATTATTTGAATGTATTCCCTTTTGTTTGCACTACTAAGTAGTGCTGATGACATAGCTTAATTAGAATTGAAAAACAACAAAAAACCAACTCACTGCCTTCAAGTCAAATCTGACTCAGAGCAACACTAGAGGTGCCCTGGTGGAGTAATGGTTACACATTGGGCTGCGAATTGCATGGTTGGCAGTTCAAAAACACTAGCATCTCAGAGGGAGACAGACTGGACTTTCTACTCCCGTAAGCAGTCTCAGAAACCCACAGGGGGTTCGCTATGAGTCAGTACTGACCACTGGCAATAAGGAGCAACACTATAGGACTAGAACTGCCCCTGTGGGTTTCCAAGGCTGTAAATCTTTATGGGAGCATAAAACCTCATCTTTCTAGTCATTCATTTCAGAAGACCTGTGTTACAGAAGTGCTCAGCTGCTAACAGGTAGGTGGGCTGAACCCACCAGCCAGCTCCATGGAACAAAGATGAGGCAGTTGGCTTGCAGGAAGATCTACAGGGTGTGGGGGCAGTTCTACTCTGTTCTGTAAGGTTGAAAGCCACTCTACAACAATGGTTTTGTTTTGTTGGTTTGTTTGTCATTCATTTCTAATTAGCCAAAGTTTAAATATAATCCTAGGCAGATGACATTATGGATCTTACTACTACTAAGACAAAGTTATGTATCTGGGGCAAATGCACTTACTTCTACAGAATTAACATTTTTAGTAAATTTGACTCCACCATAAAGCAAAACTAATAATAGCATAATGTTGCAATAAAAATTCTTAAGTTCATTTTACCTTCAGTAACTTTTCCCTCTTTTTATTTCAGGTATGGTGGGGTGGCAGTGAAAATATTTGCAAAGTGTTCCAAATTAAAAGTAACTCGTTTCAAGAGAAAGCACATTATTATATATTTCAATGGAAAATAATGCTTTCATTTCTATAAGGTATGAATTAGGTAAAGGCCACAGCTTTCACTGTCTTAAGCATCCATATAAACAAAACAAAGCAAGACAGTAATATCCTACAAAGGACATCAACCTGAAAACTTACAACACGATGTCAAGCGATTGCTCAATGGTCAGGTACAAGTTGAGTTTTGAGTATTACAGAGTTAAAATGTATTGGTACTAAGGTTCTGGTCCATATATGCCTAGGATTTATCCCAAACAAAACAGGTTTAAACACACGTTGGCCATCGGTGGGTGGCTATAGACAAATGCTCCCAGTAGTACACCTCTCCTAGTCTCATGAGGTTGCCTCTAAAATAAAACAAACATCCCAATCAAAGTGTCAGTGGGGATCAGTAGGTCAGTTAAATGTGAAGCAGAAAAGGCAGTTTAGAAAGCTTTGGTCACTGCTTTTTGGTATTTCTAAGGGGTAATCTTGATAGATTTTCTTGAATGATACTGGACAATCACAGATGTTTCTACTAACGTTTTTAAGAAAACTGAAACTGCACAGGAAAGTTGGGCCGAGGCATTTTCCCCCCATCATGACAATGCATCTGACCTGTTCACGCTTGCCGGGTAGCAAAAGGGCTGTCCTCAGAGAATTTCATTGGGAAACCTTACCCTATCCATCCTACTCCTTGATCTTATTGTTTTAACATCAAGAACATGAATTTGAGGCCCTGGAAAATGCCAGAACTACCATTTTTATGTGGTGAAAGTCCAAGAGTGAAGAATTCTTTTCGCTAGAGAGGTGGACACCACCTTCCCACGGGTCTGCCTAGATGGGGTATATGTGGACATCAATGGTTTTGTATTTTGATATTTCTGTTTAATAAAGGTTTCTATTAATTTGTAGCAATACTTTACTTACCCTTGTATGTGCAACCCACCCACTCCTATGGCTTTGATTCAAACTCAGTTTCTGAAGTTGTAAACCTTAATGGGAGCAGATAACCTCAATGTCTAGGCTCAGAGGCCTGTGGGTTTTAATAGGTGACTGTGGTCAGCACCTACCAACTGCGCCATCAGGAAGGTTAAGTCCTTAACATAAATTCCTCCCATAAGTTAGAAGGAAAATAATTTCTATTCATGTATTGTTATATGCATACTGCAATATGTTACTAATATGTTAACATAATAAATATTTTACCAATGTAAAATTGTATCCTACCATGTGAATATTTTTGCCTTAGACATGGCATCTTTTAAAAAAAGTTTTATTGGCATGTAATTGACACATCATATAATTCAGTAGCTCAAGACATGTTATCTTTTTTTATTCAGCTTCTAAATAATGCATTTCTTAAGGGTCAAGAACTCCTCTACAGTTTGAGAACATTTTCTCCCTGGAATGAATAGGGGGAAACATATTTTTTAATCTATCTCATTGTAAAATAGTAAACTGACTCGAAATACCTTACTTTACTAAAATGCATTTACTAAACTTAACTGCATTACAGTTTTAAATAAGGAGTTTGGAGCTCTGAGTTCCAGTTTTCATTTTTTTAAAAAGCTATCAAAATGATAATTATGAAAGTTTCGTTTCCAGCTCAATCTGCCCTAATTACTCCAAATTCGACATGTAAACAGGTTTGAAAAAGGGGCGGGGGCTTTTTTAAAAAACCCATTTCTTTAAGCATACAATCCGCGGAGCCGCACCACACTCGTACAGACAGGCTCCTCCCCCGGAGCTCACGGGGAAAACCCTGCCTAATATTTATAACGTTATGACATACTGTAATCCGCACAAGGTGGTTGTAGAAGTCTAACCCGACTGCAGTTATCTGATTGGCTGCTGGTGATGTAACACTCATGTCAATACTTCCCAGTGAACGCACGTGTTGGACCTTTTATTTAAATTTCCATTTCATCACAGCAATCACTCGGGGCAGCGCATTTTCGGTGAAATGCTGACCGCCTGGGGCCCGAGTGGCCGCGCGCGTCCACAGCCCATCCGAGGAGGAGGTGTCCGTGGTTGGCAGCCACCTCCGGCGAAAAGCCCCGCCGGGTCCAGTCTTTGTGGAGGCACAGAATAAGTGCAGTTCCTCGGGCACCGCTGCCCACCCCCGACGAAATGACCAGGCTGGAGCGCGGCTGCCGCCGCGCAGTCATTTGCAAAGTCCCAGGTGAACTCGTGGCGAGAGGAGAAATATGCGCGTCCCCGGCGCCGGTAGGTGCGTGTGGGCAGCGGGGAGGCGGCCAGACCCTGACACTCGCCAGCTGTTTGTCCTCCGCGAAGCCCGGCCCCGGCCGCACACGCCCGCCCCCTCCCCGAGACCCCCGGCCCGTCGGCCGGCCTTTTGTCCCCCGCCCCCGGGCCGACTTCCTTCCCCGAGGCCGCACCCCCGCCCCCAGGCCGGAGGCGCGGCCCGGCCCCTTTCCCGGTCCCCTGGCGCCCCCACCCCACCCCAGCCCAGCCCAGCCCCCCTCCCCCAGCCCGGCCCCCACCCTTTCCCCCTCCAGCGGTTACTGCTACCCCGGTGCATTGTGGGCGCACGGTCCGTTGTTCATTTGCCATTCGACCTCCGCCAGGGCCTGGTCGGACGGAAACGCTCCGCCGGCTTTATTGTGGGCTCGTAATGTGGCGGAGCCCCACAGCCTAACGTGCCTCTCGCCCCCGGCGCGTCGGGAGCCGGCGGCGGCGTTGGGACTTCTCGGTGCGTCGGAGGAAGGATATCTGTTCTGGAGGGTCTGTGTGTGCGCGCGGCTCGAGAGAAGGGGCAGCGGAGGGTCTCCCCGCACTCGGCCGCCCAAC